TTTTTTTTTTTTTTGTTTTTTGAGACAGGGTCTCACTGTGTAGCTGAGACTGACCTGGAACTCACTATGTCGCCCAGGCTGGTCTCGAACTCACAGCGATCCTCCTGCCTCCGCCTCCGGAGTGCTGGGATTGCAGGTGTGAGCCAGCACGCCCAGCTGGGACTCTCTTTCAAAGTAACACTTTTTGTTTTTGTGGTGTTGGGGGTCAAACCCAGATTCAACAGTATAGGGAATGAGAAACGGACCTCTGCAGGTCCCAGCCTCCGGTGAGCCACTACAACCCAAGGTGAATCAAAGAATAAGACAGGAAACTAGATTTAGAGTGAAGAAGACCTGATTAGTGCAGCTCTGTGCAACTAAAGACAAAGGTCCCCAAGCACATCCTGTATTTATTGACTACACCCATGGGAAGGGATAGGGACCTGGGTGAGCTTTGAAGGCATCTAGTGGGATACTGCCAAGCACCTGGCATGATGGCGCCAGGCAGGGCTGTTAGGGAGCAGGCACTGCTTATCTTACTTGGATAGAACAAACCGGTACTGAGGCCAGATGCAATTAGCAAGTAACCAACAAGGTCAGTGAGAAGCCGTACGTTACTCAGGGGAAAGGATTTTAATTGGGGTCACTCTGACCTCAGGTGCATCTAAGTCAGCAGAGCCCTGCCACTTCACACACCAGGGCCTAGGTTTCCGTGGCAGCCATTGGGGGAGGTTATACCCGCCCAGTCCACTGGCTGACACGCCCATGGGAGTCCTGTACAGCTTCGTCTGTCCTGATGAAAAGCAGTACAGCCGGGCCGGGGATTTAGCTCAGTGGTTCTTCTACCTGCCTCGCAAGTGCAAGGAGCCAAATTCGATCCCCGGTACCAAAAACAAACAAACAAAACAAAACAAAATAGTATAGCTGAATTAAGGAAGGCAAGAAGTATGTGCCCACTAGTACTGGACAGGGATGTCTGCTACACTCCAGTACGCTAGGTAAGTGCTCCAGACTGAGCAACACTGCTAACTATACTGGTTTTAAATAAATAAAACAGGACAGATGTGATGATGCACCCCTGTAATTCCAGCTATTTGGGAGGCTTTAGCTAGGAGGCTGAGGTAGGAGGGTTGCAAATCCTCCTGCCTCAGCCTTCCAAAGTATGGGAATTACAGGCATTAGCTACCACATTTGGTTCTTTCTTTCTTTCTCTCTCTCTCTCTTTCTTTCTAAACAAGAACAACCCAAACAAACAAACCCCCCCCAAAGTAAGGCATTTAGTTTTTTTTTTTTTTTTTTTTGGTACCGGGGGTCGAACTCGGGCCTTTGTGAGGTAAATGCCTGGCCCAAGTAAGGTATTAATGAAGTCTAAAATTACTAGCATTTTGCAATAGTGAAGATAAATGAGACTTCAAGCTTTCTGTAACCATTGTGATACTCAATGAGCAAAAAGAAAAAAAAATGTGTTTGGTGGTACTGAAATTGAACCCAGGTTCCTCAAATGAGCTACATCCACAGCTGTTTTTGTTTTTCATATTGAGACCGGGGCTTGCTAAATTATCCAGGTGGGACTTGTGCTCTTCCTCCTTAGCCTCCAGAGTGTTTGGCATTACAGACACACACCATCATGCCCAGCTATTCCTTCCATTCCCTCCTCTTTCCCTTCCTTCCTCTTTTTTCATTATTTTTTTTGTTTGTTTTGTTTTTTTGAGACAGGGTCTCACTGTGTAGCTGAGACTGACCTGGAACTCACTATGTAGCCCAGGCTGGTCTTGAACTCACAGCGATCCTCCTGCCTCAGCCTCCCGAGAGCTGGGATTACAGGCGTGTGCCACCATGCCCAGCTTTTTTTCATTTTTCTTTCATACTTGAGATTGAACCCAGGGAGCTACATCCCCAGCCCTGTTTTTATATTTATTTATTTTTGAGACAAGGTCTTGCTTTGTAGCTCAGGCTGACCTTGAACTCACTACGGAGCCCAGGCTGGCCAAAAACTTGCAGTGATCCTCCTGCCTCAGCCTCCCGA